TGTTATCACAAACTAAAATTGCAATTTCTACTCAAACAAATTTGATGCGTATACACATCCGAGACATTTTCTAATTTGTTTTTTCAACAAATTGCTGAAAACAGCAAAAAGCACAGTAGTAAAAATGTATAAAAAAAGAACACAAAAAGAAATAAGTCAAAAAAAAAAAAATGTAAAAAAAAAGTTACAAAAAATAAATAAATAAATAAGAAAAGCACTGTATAATATTTATAATAATCCGCATTAAATACAGTTAAATATTTTATTCTTTGACAAAAGAAAGGCGAAAAAAAAAAAACAAAGAACTCTTTGGAAACATTCAATAGATTAAACTTATCAACAAATTGTTGCTTACCTAAACGACAAACATAGAAGAATAGTGATTGTATCCGAAGTGGTGTACTAAATGGTGTAACTGAGTTAACAAAATAGTTAAGTACACCAGGCATTAGTGATTTCCAGTTATTTCAACCTACCCTTTTTCAAACCAACAACTACACTAATCTTTCATGCAGCTATATACTGCAAAACTTATTGAACATTTTAAAGTTTCAAATGTTCTTTTTTTTCTTCTCTTTTTTCTTTTCTGCTTTGTTTTTCCCAGTGATTATTACCATTTGATTTCTTATCTCTTTTCAGTTCCACAATAACAATAGCAAAAGTAAAAAAAAAAAAAAGACTCAAATATACATACGAGAAAAAAAAAAAGATAAGAAAAAAAAAAACGAAAACTTAAATTTTTGTTATATGGTGTGCATTTAACTTTCAGTTTTTGCCGACAAAAATTCCCAAAAGAGTATTTGCAGAAACAAAACAGAGAAAAAAAAATAAAAGAAAAAACAATGGAGTTTTTTCTTTTCTTTCTAAACTTTCTTCATTTTCTATTTGTTTTATAAATCTTCAGTTAAAGTTTGACAACAATACCAACAGCAACAATAAACGAACGATAGCGGAAAAGTTGAGGGGGAAAAAAAAGCAGGAGGTATTAAACAGAAAAAAAAAAAAAAGGAGGAGGAGGAATACAATATACAATTTAACAATTTTGCGTCACCAACATTTCAATATTTTGAAAGTTTAACAAAAATGTCATAAATTCTCCTCG